GAATGAAAGCAGTTCTACATGAAAAATTCATAGTACTGAATGCCCACATTAGAAAAACAGAGCAAGCTCAAATAAACAACCTAACGATGACTCTTAGACTCCTAGAAAAACAAGAGCAAGAAAAACCCAAAGCTTGAACAAGAGAGGAAATTATAAAGATTAGAGCAGAAATCAATGCAATGGAAACTAAGAAAATGATAAAAAAATAAATGAATCAAAGAGTTGGTATTTTGAAAGAATAAATAAAATTGATAAGCCCTTAGCAAACCTTATCAAAAAAAGGAAAGAAAAGCCTCAGATTCATTCAATCAGGAATGAAAAAGGCAAAGTCACAAGAGATCCCACAGAAATCCAGAGGAACATTAATACATACTATGAGAACCTGTACTCTAATAAAATGGAAAACACAGAAGAAATGGACAGATTTCTAGCTACATATGAATTACCAAAATTGAATGAAGAAGATAAAAACATTTTAAACACCCAAATCACACAATCAGTGAAATTGAAAATTTAATTTAAAACTTACCAACAAAGAAAAGCCCAGGTCCTGATGGATTCACTACTGAATTTTATAAGACATTTAGAGAAGATCTATTGCCATTACTCTTCAGACTTTTCAACGAAATTGAAAGAGAAGCAATATTTCCAAATTCCTGCAAGCAAATATCACTTTAATTCCCAAACCTGGGAAAGATGTAACTAAAAAAGAGAACTACAGGCCAATCTCCCTAATGAATATAGATGCAAAAATCCTCAATAACATACTAGCAAACAGAATACAGAGGATCATCAAGAAGATCATACATCCTGACCAAGTCGGATTTATTTCAGGGATGCAAGGATGGTTCAACATACGTAAATCAATTAATGTAATATATGATATTAACAAAGTCAAGAACAAGAATCACATGATCCTCTCCATAGATGCAGAAAAAGCATTTGACAAAATTCAACACCCATTCATGATATAAACTCTGCAAAAAATTGGAATAGATGGTCTATGTCTGAAATTAATAAAGGCTATCTATGAAAAACCAACAGTCAACATCATATTAAATGGCCAAAAACTGAAAACCTTCAGGTTAAAATCAGGAACAAGACAAGAATGCCCACTATCATCATTCCTCTTCAATATAATTCTGGAAACATTAGCCATAGCAATTAGACAAGAGAAAGAAATTAAAGCAATAAAGATAGGAAAGGAAGAAGTTAAACTGTCATTACTTGCTGATGATATGACACTCTACATTGAAGACCCAAAAAACTCCACCAAAAGACTTCTTGACTTAATTGACACTTTTAGCAGAATAGCTGGATACAAGGTCAACACCCAAAAATCAATAGCCTTCTTGTACACAAATAACAGACTCACTGAGAAATTAGGAAAACAATTCCCTTCAAAATAGCATCCAAAAAAAAAGGAAGTATCTAGGAATCAATCTAACAAAAGAAGCAAAAGACCTCTACACTGAAAACTACAGCACTCGGAAAAAAAGAGATCAAAGAGGATATAAGAAAATGGAAAGATATCCCCTGCTTCTGGGTAGGAAGAATCAACATAGTGAAAATGGCCATACTACCAAAACTGTTATACAGATTCAATGCAATACCAATTGAAATCCCAACACTATACTTCACAGAACTAGAAAGAAGAATTAAAAAATTCATTTGGAACCATAAGAGACATAGAATAGCAAAAGCCATCCTAGGCAACAGACACATGGCAGCGGGTATAACAATTCCCAATTTGAAACTATACTACAAAGCCATTGTGATAAAAACAACATGGTACTGGCAAAGAAGCAGACCTGAGGATCAGTGGAACAGATTGGAAGACACAAAAACAACTCCAGATGTAGTCAGCTACCTCATCTTTGAAAAAGGAGCTGCCAGTTCCCACTGGAGGAAAGATAGCCTCTTTAATAAGTGGTGCTGGAAAAACTGGATCTCAATCTGCAAAAGATTGAAACTAGACTCTTATCTGTCACCATGCACTAAATTAAAATGCAAGTGGATTAAAGATCTAAATATAAAAACAAAAACACTAAACTTGCTGGAAGATAAGTTAGGCAGAATTCTGGAAGACACTGGCATAGGAAAAGACTTTATGAACAAATCCTCAGTAGCACGGGAAGTAGCAGAAAGAATCAACAAGTGGGATCTCATCTTATTAAAAAGCTTCTGCACTGCAAAAGAAACCATCAACAGAACTAAGAGAAAACCTACAATGTGGGAAAAACTTTTTACCAGCTGCTCCTCAGACAAAGAACTATTATCTAAAATATATAAAGAACTCAAAACAACCAGCCACCCCACATATAAAGACCCAATTCTAAAATGGGCATCTGAAATGAACAGACATTTCTCAGACAAAGAAATAAAAGGAGCAAGTAAATATATGAAAAAATGCTCCACATCACTGGTCATTTGAGAGATACAGATGAAAACAACACTGAGATTCCTCCTAACCCCACAAAGAATGGCCGCTATCAAGAAATCACACAATAACAAATGTTGGCCCAGTTGTGGGGAGAAAAGAACCCTTCTCCATTGTTGGTGGGAGTGCAGACTGGTACAACCACTATGGAAGTCAGTATGCAAATACCTCAAAGAACTAGGATTAGAGGTTCCATTTGACCCAGCCATCTCTCTGCTGGGTATCTTTCCAAAAGAATTAATCATACCACAGTGCTATATGCACACCCATGTTTATAGTGGCACAGTGTGTCATAGGTAAAACTTGGAAACAGCCCATCTGCCCATCAGTTGGAAACTGGATAAAGAAGATGTAGTTTTTCTATAAAATGGAATACTACTCAGCCATAAAGAATGAGAAAGTAGATTCATTCATATGTAAATGGGTATGTTTTGAGGATATACTCCTAAGTGAAATAAGTAAGTCACACATATGCAAATACTGAATAGTTTCTCTAGTGTGAAAAACTAAAAGAATACTCAATATCCTAAGGAGACAAGTAGCAAATAGAAATAAAGGACCAAAGGTGTAGGGACAGTGAGAAGGATAGGGAAAGGGGAATAAGGTAAAAGGAAAAAAAATGAGAAAATGTAAAAATGGAATTAAAGGGTTTGAGGGAAGGAGGGGTGGGGGGGAGGGGAAAAAATGAGAACCAAGAACTGGCATGTAAAGGTACAAGATCCCAGTAATGAATGTAACTGTACTGTCTACCTAGCATGTACCAATAAATTAAATTTAAATTTAAAAAAAAGAGAATGGTCATCCTTGGGTAGTAGAAATACATATTATTTTTATTTTTGTTATGACTTTCTGAATTTTTAAATTATCTGTTTTTCCCAATATTTTAATCACGACAAAATAAACATAATATAACCAGGCAAGGTGATGCATACCTATAATCTCAGCACTCAGGAGGCTGAGGCAGGAGGATTGATGCAAGTTCAAGGCCAGCCTGGTCTACATAGTGAGTTCAGGGGCAACCTAAACTACATAGTGAGACCCTGTCTCAAAAGACCAAAAAATTAAAATTAAAAAATAAATAGAATTTACTACATGATCATTTTCATGTGTATAGTCAGTGTTATTAAATATAACCAAAATATTATACACTCATCATCTTTAGTGCCCATTCCTCCCTTTTCTCTGCCTCCTGGAAACTGTATTTGTCTTGTCATTTTGACAACTTTAAAAATCTCATGTGAACTAAATCACATGGTATTTACCCTCTTGGAAGTGTACTATTCACAAAGCAAAATCTTCAAAGTTCATTCATGTTATAGCATATGTCAGAACCTTTCCTTTTAAGGCATTCAGCAAAGTTCATATGTGTAAAAAGTTTGTAATTTACATAAAACCCTTTTAGTTTCACTAATCCAGGCTTTATGGAGATTTGGACAGGTGCTGAGGTCAAGTTTACCCTGGCCTAGGAGTTCTGTCCATTCTTTATAGAGCAAGTTAGTTGTATCAACACTACATTTTAGAACATTAATATACCTCAAACTAACTTTCTAGTCTCTTTGAATGACTTATTTAAAAATATACAGATATGCTAATGCTGTCTATTTTGCGGTAACTCTGTTAAAATCATAAGCAAGTACATTATGAAAACTTAGTTTCTGTTTTTTATAGACTTGAAATACTCTATTTTATTTTAGAAATATTATTTGAATGTAGATTTTCTGCCTTTCATCCTACTTCCCGTGATTAGCTCTAATTAGTTGAGTTTTGTGTTATTTTATAAAAGAGACTTCAAAATTTCAAGGACTTTAGCACTCATGTCAATAGTATAGTATTTCCATAGAACACAGTGAAGACTGTGGGAATGTTTAGGTAACACATTTACCCAAGATGCCTTACAATAAGCTTTGCATTGTGATTCTCCTGGAGAAGGGCACATGAAGTATGAAATAGAATCCTCACAAATTTATTCAGCCCTGGAATCTTTCCTCTCAGAGCACTTCACAGTGTATTCTAGATTGCATTTTAGAGAAATGCTCGTGGAGACATCTTCATAAAGAAAAGGGGAAGCAAAGAGTTGGCCTCCGGGTGGTGCTTTTGTCTTCAGTTAGTAACACTTCTTTACAGGGTTTTTATTTTTTTAAGTGTTTTCAGGGAGCTTTCATCCTAATAGGGAAGATCATCCCTTTTATCAGTAACTGTAACAGAAGACATGTTAAAATGCTAGAAGGCAATCAATTCTGCTTATCTGGGAAGATGAGATTCAGTTAAGCAGCACTGAAAGGAAATCACTTCATGAAAGATGTGGCTTTGACCTCCACCTTGAAGAGTGGGGATTTACATGTAAGAGTGCTTTAGAGAATTGAAGGGCAGGAGTTACCCTTCAGTTATGGATATCTGATGGCAATGATTTGGACAGGCTGGGATAATAAGTCATTATCTATTTCCTCATCTCAAAAATGTGCTCAGTGTGGAAAGTTCCGTGGGTGAACTCTTCTCATCCCCAAAGGAGCAATGGGAATCCTGCATAAGCCCAGCAGGCCCAAAGAGGGAGAAAGGCGTGGTGTCAAGGATGACATGATGTGTGGGCACATTGTCTACCCAGCTGGTGACTTTTCTTCAGTGTTGGATGTCTCCATTAGATTCCAGCTCATGCGGGAAAGGAATTGTTAATAAAGTGAGCACTCTGCTCTGGTCGGCTCCCTGGGTGTTGGCAAGCACTTTAGATAGTCCTTCTGGTACTGGTGTGGTGCTGTCTTCTACGTAGCTTTGGTGTTTTGGATCTTGATTTCCATCATAGTCTCCCATTTCTACTCAGAGATAATAAAGGTATAGTGGTTGAGTAGTTGGCTCAGGAGTGGAATTGCCTCTGTCTGAATTCTCATTGCTGTAATGATAAAATGGAATTTTAATATCACCTACCCCGCTTATTGTAAAGATTACTGGATGATAATATGTCTGATGTGCTCAGCCCATGGCTTGCCTAGGAATAGATTAGCTACTACTAGGATATAAGTGCAAGATGGTTTTAAAGCTGCAAATCCAAATATGATCAAAATGGACTCTCCCAGTAGCTAGCAGATATTAACATGTTTTGGGAAGGTGGCACTGTCTAAGATCTTTGATGGTGACAAGGAATAAAGCAGAAAGACTGACGATGTGGGCAGTGTCAGGAAATAGAAACATCTGTGTATGGGAAGAGTGGTTGTATATGGTAGGAGCTCATGTAGGATAGTTGTGAAATAGTATGTAGTGTTACTGAATATGTGCTGTTTGTCATGGGCCATCAACAGAGAAAAAACCCAAGATGTCTACCAGAATAACTCATTGATGTGTAGAACTTTTTGCATTTTATGTATTTGTGCAAAATTCCTGTCATGCATGATTGTGCATATCATTGAATCTATCAGAAATAACTGACTTATTATTTGGTTTAAGCAGCGACTTCTAGAAATATAATTTTTAATCAGCTGTGGATCCTCTAGTTTAACATGATGAGCAGGGAATCTAAACAAGAATTTAGAGGCTGGGATGAAGCTCCACAGAAGAGCTCTTGCTCTATTCACATGCATAAGGCCCTGGGTTCAATCCTCAGTACCACAAAGAAGAGAAGGAAGAATTATTTTAATACTTATTACAGAAAACGCTGTTCATATGCTGCCCAGACCCTCTGAGATCTCATTTGTTGTCTCTGTGCCTGGTTTCCTTTGCTCCCATCTGCTGACACTTGTACGTCTTCTTCTGAGGACTTCTCTTGGGCTCCTGGAGGGGTTTTGTCTTTCAGTGCAGATAGCTGAGAGTGCCTGCCTTCCATGCTCACACCTTAGTGGCCCTCAGCCAACAGTGGACAGGTAGAGGGTATGAAAACCCAGCACCTCGGCCCTGGTGGAGAAACTCTGAGGCCCCCTTACATTTCAGAGCTCCTCTGCAGGCTCAGCCTGAAGCTGATTCCTCAGGACTCTGTTTAAATTGCAGACCTGCTACATTCTTCATGCTCCTCATTTACCCCTTCTTCTGTCATGAACGATTTGCACCCCACCACTTATGATAGCATCTCCTTCTGGGGAACCTGACCTCTTAGATGTCAAACTCTGTTCTAAAAACACTGTGAACAGTTACAGCATTAGACAACAGGAAGGCGACAAAGGGGTAGGGAAAGGAGTATAATGTGATCAGAATGCATATACATTGGACCCCCCAAAAACATGTGAAACTGGGGAGCAGGGATGGAATGAGTAAAGCATATTTGGTACACATCTGCCAAAATGAAGCCCATTAATCTGTATGTTAATAGCACTGATAAAAAAGGTGAGTCAAAACAGTGTAAATAGCAAGTGATTTAATCCTCACGATTCTGTAGAGTTATTGCCCTTATTTCGTAGAGAAAAAAGATTACTTAAATAAATGAGAAGGGACATCATGTTTCCCTTGAAGTAATGACAGGGTCATGGCTTTACCTAGTTTCCTGCCCTCTTTGCCCACTTCATAACATCTTATTAAACTGCTGTAGTATCTTGGGAGGTTCAGCCACCATCTTGGGATAGTTCATCTGAAAAACAAAACCCATTTTGGAATTACTACCCACATGGAGCCCATCACAGACGAAAGACATCACCATTTTATTTTGAATCTTAAAAGCTAATTTAAATGAGAGGTTGCAAAACAATTTTAGAAAAGAGAAATTTAAAAAGATGTTACTAGAATGAGTGGCATTTATCATAACCTCAGCCAGAGCATCACTTGAGGTGGATGAAGCTGAGGTGAAAGCCCTGGGATCACCAGTCCGGGCTTGAGTCCTCGTTTCTCCTCAGACCAGCTTTGAGACCTACAGCTGGGTGATCCCTCTAAACTGTGCTGTTCTCATCTGTATAATGGAGACTATCACATCTATTTTGTAGGACTGCAGTTCAGACCAAATCAAAGAATAAAGGGCTATACACAAGGTTCTTAGTGCATTGCCTGGTGTGCAGTAAACACTAAATCAAGCTGCTTTGTTCTGTTTGCTGTTCACTGAACCTGTGCCTAACATATATGTTGTGGTATCACACTATGATTTGTTCCGGAAACAAAACTGGATTATCTTCAGATTCTGATGGTGCTGTAAGCAGCTGGTGTGGGGGCTTCACCTCCAGAGCCACAGCTTTGGTTCGGGCATGAGCTTTCAACACAGATATCTATTTGCTGTTTTCCTGACAACTTTGGGAATGAGCCAAACTTTTTGCAACTTCATGTTTATCAGAGAGGGGTAATAGATATAAAATATAATTCTGTCTCCCGAATGATCTGTCCCCTAGCCAAGCATCCTGAACATTTTCCAAGATCATTTTATAACAATGTACAAACCTACTTTTTCTATAAGTCTGCATTATTGTGAGATTACTGTAGTCTCACATGCAGTTGTAAGAACTCAGAGAGTTCCCCTAGTCCTCAGCCAGTTTCCCCTAATCCCAACATCTACAAACATCTGGTTTAAACAGACTCTTTTAAATAACTATGCTGACTTATGGACAAAAGTAAAATATCTTCTGTATTTTAGTGAGATTCCAAACTGCAAGACCAAGTCTCTTCCCTCAAGGATCTAGAAATTTAACTAGAGCTTCAATTCTGGGGATGAACAATCTTGAGTCAAGTAAAAAACTTCTGTATGCACTTGCCTTGTTTTGTGCTGGAATTAAAACTAAGGTTTTTCCATGAAGCATTTTCTTCAAAATGAAAATGCTTAGATGTAAAAGCCTTTTTTATTTCTCATTGCTCCAGCGATTAAATTGCTTTAGAGTAAGAATGGTCCACTTTTTAGTCAAAACCATGACACTCAGGACACCTGGCTTCCATACACGCTCCTTCAGGCTGGTGGTGACAGCATCTGTGGCTAGGAATAAAAGCAAAAAGCCAAATCCAGTCAGTGTATTGGTTGTGTACGGGAAACAGCTGATATTTCCTGTCAGATCTGACCAACCATCTCATGGATAGGTAGCAGTGGGCTTTATTTCTTCTTTGAAATGTTTTCATTTGCTATTAGCTTCTACAGTAGACATATCTCTGCCCCAACATTATTTATCAGTTACTTTCCTCTTTTCTTCTCTATTCTTCTGCATATTTCATGAGTTTCCCAGGTCCCCACGCTCCTTTCTTACCTCCTTTCAGTCATTTTTTACTGTTCTCATGGATCCTCCCACCTCTCCTGGCTTCTTTCTCATTTTCCTTCAGTCCCCCAAAGAGAAAGAAAAGGGAGAAGAAACTGAAGCATCCTCGTTAAAGCGTGTTGTACGATGCTTTGGCATCACAATCTTCAAGTTTGTGTTGTCATCTTCCTAAACACGGGCCTGTGCAGAGCCGTGCTGCTGTTCTGCTGGCTGGGCCCTTGTAACACTGACAATGACAGCAAACCCCCCAGCTACTCCAGGTGTTGACCATGCATCAGCAGGGAGCCAGGTGGGCTGTGTGTGCACAGGGAGAGCGAGGAAAGCTCCTCTGTGGCTTGGTCTGTGGGTTAATGAGAAGAAACCAAGAGACAGAAGGTGAAGAGACATGGAAGGTAATAACATGTATCTCCTCGGTTCTTTTTTTTTTTTTTTGCAGTTCTGATTTGAGCCCCGCACGGATGATGCTGTGAGCTGGGTCCCTGAGCAGAGCCTGTGAACAAGTTGCACCTTTCCAGGGCCATCAGCTGAGATACAATGGAAGAGGCTTACAAAGATAGGACTTCACTGATGAAGGGTGCCAAAGACATTGCCAGAGAGGTGAAGAAACAGACAGTAAAGAAGGTGAACCAAGCAGTGGACCGGGCCCAGGACGAATACACCCAGAGGTCCTACAGTCGGTTCCAAGACGAGGAGGAGGATGATGACTATTACCCACCAGGAGAAACCTACGATGGGGAAGCCAACGAGGATGAAGGCTCCAGCGAAGCGACTGAGGGCCATGATGAGGAAGATGAGATCTATGAAGGGGAATACCAGGGCATCCCCAGCATGAGTCAGGGGAAAGACGGCATAGTGTCGGCGGGGCAGCCCAAGGGCGATGAGTACAAGGACCGCCGGGAGCTGGAGTCCGAGCGGAGGGCCGACGAGGAAGAGCTGGCCCAGCAGTACGAGCTGATTATCCAGGAGTGTGGCCACGGCCGCTTCCAGTGGGCCCTGTTCTTTGTGCTGGGCATGGCGCTCATGGCAGACGGCGTGGAGGTGTTCGTGGTGGGCTTTGTGCTACCCAGTGCGGAGACGGACCTGTGCATTCCCAATTCAGGATCCGGATGGCTAGGTGAGTGCCTCGTCACCCAGACTGATTCTGAAACGGGTATTGTGGAGTACAGGGCTCACCAGTTAAAATAGATACTTTTTCTCCACAGCATTACATTTTCCAACAAAAACTTTATATTGAAAAATCTCTAAAAATACAGAAGAGTCAAAATAATTGTACAGTGAGCACCAGTATACAGCCACCACCTGCATTCTGTAGTTAACACTGTTTATATTTTCTTCATCATCTATCAAGCCAATTTACTTTGATGCATTTTGAAGTTAGAGGAGTGTATTTTCATTCATACTATTATGCCATGTACCACTTAATGAGATAATATATTGTAAAACATGCATTATTCTGTGATTTCATCTTTGTACCATAGTGTATAGTTACAGACGCAAATGTGACTAAGATACCATTAGCAGGGTAATCTTATGGGACCACTGACTCACATGTGGCCTGTCACTGACCAAGACACTGCTTTTGGCAGGTTGATGGTTGCCATGGCTAGATTTTCATTAGTTTCTCTTGTATAAACTCCTAACGATAGGTCTTTATGTGAAGTTTATTTGACACCTTTCTAAAAGCAGAGGTTAACTCTATAAAACTTGGTCAAATATGATTTCAGATGTTACGTGTGATAATGTGGCTTAAATATTTTTAAAACTCTGCTAATTTTTACTTTTCTTAGAATCTATGTGAATATTTGCTTTTCTATTAGCTTTAGTTATAGAATTTTCTCCAGGTGACTTTTAATAGATATCTTTTTCAAGGTTTGTACTTTTGAGCCCAAGTTGTAAAAATATAATTTCAAACCCATTTCAGAGTATATGAATATTTATATTATATATGCTGAAAATAATACGACCTCTCTATAAAACATTCAGACAGCTGATTTGATTTTTATGTGAATGTCACCATCGCCCAAGGTTCTCATTCTAACAAACCTGTAGTTATACTCTGAGTCTGTTGAGGCTAAGATTTGTTCACGTGGTTCCATGTCCCCAGCAGTTTGAGTCCCCTGCAGATGGTTGGTACACTAATCAGGAGGGTTTTCAAACTTCTTTTCCAAACTGCCTCAAAAGACATGTTATGTGCATGTAAAATCTTAATGTCTTTTGGAGTCCATAAAACAAAGTAAAAATACTTAATATCTATCTTTTCAAGAGACTTCTTTAAACCAACGCTTGAAAAACAAAAAGTACCCAGTTCTTTGTGTGCAAACATAGTAACTTAAGTAATGCCATCATCACTATAGCTAGATATTTTCTGTGTGATTAAAATTAAATGTCGCTCCTAACTTTCTGACAGTATAAGACATCTAATCATAAAGAGCAGAAAGATTTATGTCATTCTATTTTCTCATCACTTGTTTCTTTCATGTTATCCACTCCTGCAATTTACTTATGCTTAACTGAAGGAAACGGATCCACAAGTGCAGACTCTGTAGGGTGAGGGGTGGGAGCCAGGACATAGTTCTCATATTTTGTTGGTCGGTCATTTATGTGTCCAGCCATCAAAACACAGACCTCCCAATGCTTCAGATTGATCAGTTCAGCAGATCTTGTTCATATCTAGCATTGCATTGTTTTGTATTTTTTTTCTTTGGGGAGCAAATATAACAGCATAAGCCTGGACACCCAAATGTGTCAAGATTCCTCTAACAGAATGTATCAGTAGAGTGTTTCAGGAAGATTCTTAGAAGTATATCCACACAGATATTGAATAGTTGCAGGCTTAAATTTAGAATAAAACTCTTTTCATGTTCTGATCCTCACTTTTATATCAGAAACGTTACAGCCAAGTCTACACCCAGCATGGCTCGTGCCTTTATCTCCCTGTTTTGAAGTGGAAGTACCACATTACGTGGGGAGCTCTTATCAGCCATCCTCAGAGCCCAGGGCCTTGGGGATAAGACACATTCACAGGTGGCAGTCAGAAGTGTAGATAACACTGCAAAACAATAGGGACCCAGATCTTTTCATCTGCCTGTAATTGTGGCCTGCTCTAGTGAATTAACAATGAGTCCCCAGGAGTACACAGTTTCACTCCTGTTGTGAGTCCAAAACAGAAGCATTTTATTGGTTTCATAACTGTGCCTTTCAGACTTGCATTTCAATTATTTTGCCATTGTAATTTCACTCATAATTGCATTCTAACTGGGTCTCTTTAGACAAGCATTTAAATTGTTTTGCCATTTTCATTTCATCAGATAATAGCTTTGTAATATAATTACCACACTACGTCACAGCAATGGGATCAAAACCCAAAGAAGAAAGATGTGTGACCCGTGTTTGGTGGCATTTGTGGATATAGATTTGCAAAATGATTTTTCCTTTGACACTGAGCATTGTGCTATTTTCCACCATGAAGAAAAGGAATAAAAATAAGACTCGATTTATGTTTTAATTATGTGGGAAATTGATCCTCTCATGTTTTCTAGAAGGTTGACTTAAAGATAGCCAAGGGCATTCTGTGTGTACATGTGTCTGTGTGAGCGGTCTGTGAGTATGTACAACAGGGATAGAAGAAGTCAGAGTAAATATTTAATTACCTAATAAGCTGCTTTTAAAATAATACATTTCCTATTGCCAAAGTCTATTAAGCATTTATGGTGTGCAAAGTACAGCATTACTACAAGGGATAAGAGGACAAATTGAAATAAAAGAGACCAGGTTTCACTCTCCGAGGAAGTTACAGTCTAGAATTGGGAAATCAGAAATGTCTAAAGATGATCAATACAAGGAAGCAAATCTCAGCAGACCAGAGCAAAGTGCAAATAAAGAGACTTCAAGTGGGGAGAACGTGTTGAGGAATAGGGCACTGACTGAGGGAAGGAAGGATTGTATTTGGGAGCTTTTCCAGACATAGCATGGATTGGCTCATTGATGAGTTTGGAAGGGAGGGGATACAGTCAGTTAATAAAAGGAAAGCAACTCTTCAAGTGAGGGAATTCAGTCTACAGCTTCAAGTAGGAGGGAAGATGAGAAGCAGTTTTGGAGCTCCCATATGGCCTCTGTTGGAAAGAGCTGAGGAGGGTGTCAAAGGGCTGCTGCCCATGGGGGCTATAAGGCCCAACACTTGGGAACCATGTCATTTAAGATGACAAAGCCAGTGACTGTAACCAGGCAGAGGCTGCTTCCTGATGATGCTGCTTATGGTGCTGGCGGTAGAGGAAGAGGTCTCTTCTCTGCAGAGGAAGGAGCAGCCAGCAGAGAGGGGCAGTCTGGACACCATGAGAAGAAGCAAGGGAAGGTGGTTGACCTCTTTGGTGCTGCAGAGTCTTGTAGCAAAGACTCAAACAAGTTTCTTATTTCTGGCAATTAATTTATTGGCTGCTGCAAATGACTCTTCCAGTAAACACAATGAATAAGACTGCAAGTTTTACAGTCTGTGTGTTGAGTGGTATGGCAAACGGTCCTTCAGATTAGCAGCCATGGGTGGCAGGGCAGGGCTTTCTCTGGCACCGGTGCTCTCCTTCCCATGGCCGGCCTCAGAGTGATGCTCCAGTCTTCCCTGAGCACTAGGACTGATCTGGCTCCTCTCCAGGGCTTGCTAGAGAGGGCTCACTGGATTCGAAGGCACGAAGGACCTGCAAGCTTTTCAAGATCAGGCCTGCCCTGGATCCAGCCCTCGAGAGCAGAACAAGCCGCTTGCGTGTCATTTACATTTTTCTGCGTTTCCATCCTCACCATTTTACATCAGACATAAGAAAACCAAATTAGATTTTGATGATTGAATATGAACGTGTGTATCCATAGCAAAGGGTGCAATAGATAGCAAAAGCAAATAAATTATAGCCATTATTATAATTACTAGAGGAGTAAAGGTCATCTGGGAGGCTCATGTAATGTTCTAGGCAAAAACATGGATGGAATCCTGAACTAAAACAGTTAACTCTTTGAGGGAGGTGATGAAACTGGAAGAGAAACAGCCAGCTGTGCTGAATGAGGACGATCCATAGGTAGTGGAGGATGATATACAAGGACACAAGTAGCTAAGGTTGAAAACTGAAGAGGCAGAGCAGATGGGGAGGCTGGTGAATCCATCGGGGAGGTGTTGGTCTCACAGGCAGGAGAGATGTTAGGACCAGGACAGCTGCGTGATTCAAACAGGAACCAGGCAGAGCACAGCTAAACAGGAGGCAGAAAACGACCAACTGAATATTTAAAGAGGTTTTTGTTTTGTTTTGTTTTGAAATAAATTCCCCAGTATGAAAACTTTAAAAAAATTTTACAAGCCAGACACACCTATAATCCTAGCACTGTGGGGGGGCCGAGGCAGAAGGATTCAAGCCCAGCCTGGGCAGTTTGGGACTCTGAGGCTTTTCGTTTAGGAAAAAACAACTCATACATTAACATCATTTGTCTTAAAAGAAAAAACACATAACACATATGCCATGGGTTTGCCACCAGTGATCTAGATATTCAGTTTTTGTTTGGAACAATGTAATCACATATCAAACTTAAACATTTTCTTCCTTTTCCAGAAAAGATAACACATAGGTTTTTTTGTTTTTTTGTTTTTGAAGTTATAGGCAATTCATAATGACAACAGTCACAAATGAGAAATTTGATTGCTTTGGAGGATTAACCTATAAAATCAACCTGGAATACACAAGTATTTTAAAGAGATAGAGTAATAAACTTTTTCTAAAAAGAGGCAATAAAAGCCCAGTGATAGGGCTGTGTTTGTCTGTTTTGTTCTCTATCGTATCCTTGCCCAGATCAGTGTGTGGTAAATAAGATAAATTTTTTAAAAATCTTATAAATACGTGAATGGGAGGTCTCTGAAGTCTTTAATACTCTGAGACCTCACTGGAGGTGTGGACATATCTAAAGCAGGAAGGTGTTACTTTGAACTGGAACTCAGCCACAGTAAAAACTTCAAAGAGAAAGACATACATGCAGATGCTGGCTGTTCCTTTCCAAAAGCTTCTGGGCATGGGGTGGCCTAATCTGCCTGATGGTGGGGCTGTGTGCATCCCTGCTCTAGGGAAAGATGTGAAAGGCATTCTT